AGAGAGAGAGAGAAATAGGAGAGAGAGAGAGAGCGCACGCGAGAGAGAGAGAGAGAGAGAGAGAGAGAGAGAGAGAGAGAGAGAGAGAGAGAGAAAGTGAGAGCAGAGAGCGCGCGCGAGAGAGAAGGCCCCATACAGCACCTACTACATACAGACAGAGTTATCACTAACCATCTATGGGTGATCCTGTAGGATCCCTCACGGTAAGCTATTACCGTCTGGGACCCGTGCGTGCTGGCGTATAGGACTTTCTACAGCAGGATAGAACCTTGCATGTGGAGGCTTAGACGGTAGCGCACGTGCGCACGTGGAATGCGACAGGTTCCGCGCAAATCGTCGAGCTGCTGATGATGATGGTGATGGCTGGATAGCGGTTGAACAACTTCGGCACCCGCCGTGCAGTGCTGCTGCTGCTGCAGATGATGCTGCTGCTGCAGATGATGCTGCTGCTGCTGCTGCTGCTACTCCCCTCCTCTTCTCCTCATCAGCCGTCTCCTCCTCCTTCTTCTCCTCCTCTTCTTTCTCCCTATCCTCTTCCTCGCTGGGCTATTATAGATAAAAATGTTGCAAATGAGACCCGATAGTTGATTATATATATATATATTGGTCGAGGACCTATCCGCGTCATTGCCACTGTATTGATTCTCTCGTGAATGTCATCGTACCATCATAACGGCATGCGGAGGGGTGTGTTGTACGGATTCCCCGATTAACCGCTTATATACAGATAATAATAACTCGATCGCACACACGCACGCGTGAGATATGATTCTCTCGGTTATAGTTTACACTCGCATTGACACTGTCGCCAGTTGCCGGCTTTACAAACCCCGCTGTGTTGAATGAACCTGCACAATGGCTGCATTCAGTAGGTGTTTGATCAAGGGGGATACGCGGAGGGAATTCTCCAGCCTGGCGTAACAACAGTTCATACACGATTACAATGCGTAGGTCTGTTGTGATACAAATCCACGTCATCCCTGTGTAGAAATAGCTTGTATCCACGTGCTAGCGTGTAGCTGTATTATGTGTATAATTCAATTCTTGTATTCTCTCGCTGTATTGCCGTGTTTGTTTCTAGTGGTATTCCCATGTTTGTTCTAGCGGTATTCCCATGTTTGTTCTAGCTGTATTCCCATGTTTGTTTTAACTGTATTCCCACGTTTGGTCTAGATGTATTCCCATGTTTGTTCTAGCTGTATTCCCATGTTTGTTCTAGCTGTATTCCCATGTTTGTTCTAGCTGTATTCCCATGTTTGTTCTAGCTGTATTCCCATGTTCGTTCTAGTTGTATTCCCATGTTTGTTCTAGCTGTATTCCCATGTTCGTTCTAGTTGTATTCCCATGCTTGTTCTAACCGTATTCCCATTTTTGTTCTAGCTGTATTCCCATGTTTGTTCTAGCTGTATTCCCATGTTTGTTCTAGTTGTATTCCCACGTTCGTTCTAGTTGTATTCCCATGTTTTTTCGTTCTAGTTGTATTCCCATGTTTGTTCTAGCTGTATTCCCATGTTTGTTCTAGCTGTATTCCCATGTTTGTTCTAGCTGTATTCCCATGTTTGTTCTAGCTGTATTCCCATGCTTGTTCTAACTGTATTCCCATATTTGTTCTCGCTGTATTCCCATATTTGTATTCGTGTATCGGTCGCCACGTCATATTCTGTTCCCCTACAATATTGCACATGTTCACATCGGTAATGTCGATGGCGCTCATCAACCATCATTACCTCCAGAGTTCTCCTAAAAGAAAGACAATTTGGATGGTTATCTACCCACGTATTACCAGGCGCAATTGTCACCACATCATGCATGCTCCTGCTCGGTGTTAAGTTCTCTGCGAAGTGTCACCGGATAGGGCATGACACCCGGGCGCAAAAGCGTCACCACATTATCCCCTTTCTAGGCGTCTCTGTGAATTTTCATCACCGTGGAGGGCAGGACACCTGCAGTAGGTGTCGCAGACGGGTCACGGTGGTTTGTTTGACAGAGCACACGCCACAGGGAAATACCGGCAGCGGTTGTTCTCACGTTGTTAGAGGAAACGCGGTGTCGGGAGGAGAGAAACGAAAGCGAGAGTAGCTCTGACAAACAAAGCAAAAGACCGCGGACACCTCCCCTCCGCAAGCGAAAGTTCCACTAGGCAACAAAGCACGCAAGGAGACCGCGGGCACCTCCTTCGCCCTATACGCGGTTAGCGCAATCTCCTCTGTTTACGTAACCTTCCGTAACGACTGCCTGCCTGCTAGGTCTAACCGTGTTACACCCGCCGCCCCCCCTCCCGGCCACGCTGCTGGTAGGTAGGTGTACGTGACACTGTGATGTCTCCCAGGACACACGAGATACGATCGGCAACACTGAATAAGATCAACTGAATAAGAAAAACCTCCCGTCCCTCGCCGCGCGACGATTACGTCACTATCCGGTGACGTCATCGATCGCGACAGTGGAATGGTCTTTTGATGTGCAGCCGGTAATCGGCTGCCTTTGTCGGACGCCGTGGGTACCTTTGTCGGACGCCGTCAGGTGGCAGCTCGATCGTCGTGTCGCTTACGTCGCTAACGTCGCTGTTTGTTGCTCTTCTTGCAGGTTTAATGGAGCAGCTAAAATTTCTGAGGTTTACGTGGACGCTACTGCTGGTAACGGTAAGTGTGTCTTGCTATCCGTTATATTTTTGTTCTTTTATTCTGTGCTCCGTTGTTTTTTGTTCTTTTCTTCTCGTTTTTTTTTTCTATATTGACAACATGCCCGCGGTCAGCCATGTTCCTAGATTCACTACACTTCTTTAGACTAAGTATAACCCTATAATGATCACTCGGTGTAACGAGGCCATATAGAGTCTACGAAAGTGAAAGTGCAAATATAGGTAAAACGTCTTAACCGCGCTAGATAATGCATCTTGAAAGCACTATACGCGTGAGTGACGTGAAACTATTGTTCGGTCTCTCGCACTTGCGTTCGTTCCCCCCTATATATGCATGCGTGCGTACATACGCTGTCATTCATAAATAATAGTTTTAAATGCTTTCCGGTATACATGATTTACTTCCGATACACCGCCGCTGCCGCTGCCGCTGCCGCTGCCGCTGCCGCTGCCGCTGCCGCTGCCGCTGCCGCTGCCGCTGCTGCTGCTGCGCTTATAAACGTGTACTGATATATCTACGGCGCAATGTTATTCCACGCTATATCGTCTGTACTCACACGGCAGCCGACCGATCACGCGACCTGTACGAATTCGCGTTAAGCGAGGCGAGTTAATTAGTTGAAAGTTTAATTGCGGTTATTAAACTAGGTATACTTCCGAGGAAGAGGAAATGACGGACAATACCTGGGAAGTCGTTCTTTGTGCGCATGCGCGCGCGGCGGTCTGCACGTGCGTTGCCTGTCGTTACGTCACCAGCGCGCACGCGCATGCGCGCACGAAAACAGACACGCGCTCACACATGCACGCTACAGATGCACGCATGCACACACGCGCACACCTTTTAACGCACACGCGCACACGTTCACAGACAAGTAAATGCGGGCACACTCACGCACACCCACACACGCACGCACACATACTCACACACACCCCCACCCCACTACCTACCGCCCCGACCCTCAGCGACCTCTCGCGCTGGCATGCGAAAAACCACAGCGCATGCGCGCAATACAACCGTCGGCACGCGGAAAATCGTCGGTAGCATTCCGCCACGCTAGCATGCAGAATAGCGCACGCCGTAAATTGCGCTAATAACGGTGTTCGTCTGTTAATTCACAATCCTCCCGCCCGTATCGGCTGCGATGGGGGAGAGGTTGATGGTGGTTGGGGGGTGTGGGAGCGACAGCGGAGCGAAGTGAATGACTAGTGGCCATAACGGCGTGTTTAATAAAATATATCAATTTGTTTATTATAAAAGAATTGGATTCCAAAAGTTTGATTCGTGAAAAATTTATATGGTAGAGATTAGATGGGAACCATTAACATGGTAAACAGCACTGACAAAGAGGAGAAGGAAGATGAGGTAGAGAGGAAGGAGAGAAAATGGAAAGGAGGAGGAGACAGAAGTGCAAAGCATACGAATGACAGCGGTACCAAGACCACGGCGACGATAACGATAGTACAGCCGTGACCACGGCGACGATGACGATGGAACAGCCACGACCACGGCGACGATAACGATAGTACAGCCGTGACCACGGCGACGATGACGATGGAACAGCCACGACCACGGCGACGATGACGATGGAACAGCCGTGACCACGGCGACGATGACGATGGAACAGCCGTGACCACGGCGACGATGACGATGGAACAGCCGCGACCACGGCGACGATGACAATGGAACG